AGAAAATGAATGGATGGATAATGCACAAGAAATGACAGAATACACCTTTAGTACCAAATGTATAGATGGGCACAACATTTCAAACAGAAGTGGTCTATCTTTCCTGGATAGACACTTTGGTGGAAAAGACGCTCAGAAAGTTAACAGGTAGAAATGCTGCCAAACAGTCAACAAAAGCAGAAACACAGATGCAGTTACTGTCACCAACCACTGGTAGCAGAAATCTGTTAAAGAAACACAGAGCGCTCACTTGTTAGAACATGGAACAGTGTATGGCAGTAAGCCTTGCAGTAGGAACAAGGGTGACAGAGCTAGATACCCTAGGTTTGAACCCTGGCTCTGCTGCATTCCAATTGTCAATTATTTAGTGTCTCTGTGCCCCAGTGTTCCTCATCTGTAAACTCAAATCATGAGCACCTACTTCCTACACTTTTCTTGGAGGGTGAAATTCCCACAAAGCACTTAACACAATGCCCAGCTCATGTCAAGTGTTGATTTACTCTTCATCAGGTAGGAATTATTTCTCTTGTTTCTCACAATGACCCTCCAAGTGTTACCATTAGCTCATGCCATGCCAGCACGTCAAGCTCCGAGTATTCTGGGCAGAGGGCGTCAGGATTGAACAAACAATCACACCATCATGAAGTGGGAGGAAGGACTTCGACTGTGACTTTATTGTTTGAGACAAGAGTTTAAATACTTTTTCAGTAGAGGAGGTGGAGTCAGGACACATGATATTGGGATCTCCTGTCTGTAAGGCTAGTTTTTGGGTCAGGTGCACCTTTTCTCAGAATCAGGAGAAAGTCCTTGTGATAAACAATTCCAGGAAATACCACAGATACCCAAGCTCTTACAAGGGGGAGGCAGAGGTCAGGACGCCATGTCCCTGCACCTGCCAACACTGGCAAATGCCAATTTTTTTTTTCTAAGGAAGGTAACTCTGTCTTAGGTCGTTCCGGAGGGGTCACCCTTACCCGTCACTGGGAGACCTCTTCCCTGTCTTAGGCGGGAGCCCTCTCACAGAAAGTTGCCCGTCATTGAGAATACCTTCATCTTTTGTGTAGCATCTGAGGCCACACCTGTGGGACATCTGTATGGTTGTGTGAAAACTTAAAAGGACTTGTGGGGTAACAGTTTGTCGGGATTAAATTCCTCTGAGCTTTCTACACAAGACCCAAAAACACAAAGATCATAATGAGTATGAAATTGACAGTCAGTGATAAGGAGCCTGTCCACCTCTGTGTCCATCCTCCAGTTCTTACCATGGTACTCCATCATCTTTCTGCTGATATGGCAGGGACCCTGGTTTCAATAATGGATACAATTTGTTAAGTAAGAACCTTAGTAAAATTTGCAAAGGTAAGAAAGGCATTCAATTGTTTTACAGTATTGGAGGCATTTTGTACATGGTAATGGGTAACACAAATATGATGAAAGAAATGAGAGCATGTTAGCTGTTACATAGCCCAAAGGGCATCAACTTGTTCTTGTAACAAGGCAGTTTGTTGATTTAAGTTCATGAGTCCAAGTTGTATGTTACACTGAGTTCTAAGTTTGCAGGACTTCACTAACTTCTCAACTGTGGAAGCTGTAACCGCAGTCTGAGACAGGCGATGCTAGCAGCGATGGCAGCAGTAGAAATGATGGCTATGCTAATGATAGCTGCTGTTATTCCAAAACCTCTTTTGCTTCTGTGCAATATCAGTTCAGCACCTGGGGGAAAAACACAAACAGCTCTTCCTCATCTACGACAATCCATTGTCAGTATTCCTTTGGATAGAATTGGGGTCTGCTGTTCATTTTTCCAGTAGTATGTTGGGTTAAATTTTTATTTATTTTACGTGTGTGAATGTTTTGCTAGCATATATGTAAGTGCACTTGTGTCCCGCAATGCCTGAGGAGACCAGAAGATGGTGTTGGATCCCCTGGAGCCGGAATTACTGAAGGTTGTTAGCCAACATGTGGTACTGGGAACTGAACCTTGGCCTCTGCAAGAGCAGCCAGTGCTTTTAACCGCTAAGCCATCTCTCCATGGATAATGAACAAGAAAATGAATGGATGGATAATGCACAAGAAATGACAGAATACACCTTTAGTACCAAATGTATAGATGGGCACAACATTTCAAACAGAAGTGGTCTATCGTTCCTGGATAGACACTTTGGTGGAAAAGACGCTCAGAAAGTTAACAGGTAGAAATGCTGCCAAACAGTCAACAAAAGCAGAAACACAGATGCAGTTACTGTCACCAACCACTGGTAGCAGAAATCTGTTAAAGAAACACAGAGCGCTCACTTGTTAGAACATGGAACAGTGTATGGCAGTAAGCCTTGCAGTAGGAACAAGGGTGACAGAGCTAGATACCCTAGGTTTGAACCCTGGCTCTGCTGCATTCCAATTGTCAATTATTTAGTGTCTCTGTGCCCCAGTGTTCCTCATCTGTAAACTCAAATCATGAGCACCTACTTCCTACACTTTTCTTGGAGGGTGAAATTCCCACAAAGCACTTAACACAATGCCCAGCTCATGTCAAGTGTTGATTTACTCTTCATCAGGTAGGAATTATTTCTCTTGTTTCTCACAATGACCCTCCAAGTGTTACCATTAGCTCATGCCATGCCAGCACGTCAAGCTCCGAGTATTCTGGGCAGAGGGCGTCAGGATTGAACAAACAATCACACCATCATGGAGTGGGAGGAAGGACTCTCTTTATTGCTTGAGACAAGGGTTTAAATACCTTTTCAGTAAAGGAGGTGGAGTCAGGGCACATGATAATTGGGCATTCCCATGATCACCTGACTGTAAGGCTAGTTTTGGGTCAGGGTGTACTTTTCTCAGAATCAGGAGGAAGTCCTTGTGATAAACAATTCCAGGAAATACCACAGATACCCAAGCTCTTATAAGGGGGAGACGGAGGTCAGGACACCATGTCCCTGCAAGCTCATGTAACAGATGAGAAACTGTAAGTATAGTGGAGCCAACTTCTCCAAGAATGTTTATGAAGGCTAGTAAGTCACAAATATGCTGAGATACAACCCAGGTCTGTCCTGTGAGCACCTGCTTTTTACCACCAAATATTAAATTAAGATAGTAGAATGATTTTGGGGATTTATTTTCCTGATTTTGATTTTCTTTATCCCCCAAACAAATACAACAAGTCTGACGACTCCAATAAGACGGGCATAGCTTAGGAGATGTGATATGATTATGACATCAATGATACCTGCAAGGCATTAAAACTAACATTTGCTTTAATAAAAAGAAAGTGATGCCACGCAGACAAGGCTATTTTTGGAGAGACCTCTGCTTACAAGTTTCCAGCTTCAAATGACTCCAGTATAAACAGCTGATACCATTAACTGTAGGAAACAAACTTACTCAGTTGTTACATATGTGTCAGATGCTAAACACAAACACATGCACACATATATGCACATAGGCATGCATGCATAGGCATACACTTCCTCTTGCTCCTTCTCTCCACCAAAGCCTCAACCCTCTTTTAGATCAGAAGTCTCTATAACCAAAGTGCATCTTCCTTAAGCCAGGAATTAAGCTAATGATAGAGCTGCAGGTTGCTGGCCAGCCAGTTAGTAGAACATTGATCACATTTAGAAGCACTTCCAAGCACAACAGTGCCAAGTTCACACAGGCTGATTGTCAAGAGGCTCTGTTTTTTCAAAGAATTCCATTCTCAGAATGGTTCTACATGGTCTAACGTGTCTGTCTCCTCGGGTCCTCCAGCTGTGGGGTCTTCCTCATTTCCTTTACCTTCCTTTTGGTGGCCCAGAGTTTCTGCTCATAATCTGTGCTTCCTGCAGTCCTAAAGCTCCTCAGCTCTGTTGACTCTTGTTCTCAACAGGGAGCAGCCTGGCTCCATGGCCCTGTCTCTGTGTCCTTGTCTTCTAGACTTTGGCCATTATAGGCCAAGGGACTGACTAAGCTCCCCAAGATCAATCAGTTCTGCACAGCTCTGTGAAACCTCTTGCTCTCCTTGTCAACTTGTGTCTAGGACTTTCACCAGCCCCCCGCCACTCTCTCTCCCAAACCTTTCGTCCTGCTCAGTCCAATTCAACCAGCACATACCGATGCCTCATCTGAGTCATGTGTTTAGGACAGGGAATTCAGTGATGAATAAACATGTCACCATTTATATTCTACAGGGGAAGACAATGATGGTGGTGGCAGTGGTGATGCAATAAAATGCAAAGATTAACTGAGGTTAAATGAAACACAATCAACCAGGAAGGCTTTGAGAAGTCATTTAGATGCTTCAGAGATATGAGCTGATCAAATAGAGAAGAGGAAGGAAATCCAGGTAGAGAGGAGACTGGGTCAGACAAGTTGGTATACACAGGAAAAAGCATGCAGTTCAATGAGCAGGGTGTCTCAAGTATGAAAGCCGGTTAGAGAAACAATACTGACGTAGGAGACGCCAGTCCACGTTTAAAATGCTGAAGATGGGGACAGGATGAGCTTGGGGAGGAGACCCGGGTCCCTTGAAGTACTTTAAGCAAGGAATCACGTAATCATTAGTTTATATTAGGAGGCAGGCAATACAACGCGAAGATGTTCTGTATCTAAACAAAGGTGTGAACTTGGGTGGAGTTTGGTAAGTGTGTGTGAACCACGAAGAGGAGGAGTTTAGCTTTCTGGCCTGGAAAAGAGGTGAACAAATTGGGACAGAGGAAGCGAGGGAAGCAAGAATGATTTTCGTTTTAGAAATCTGAGTTTCGAATGTCTTTGGAATAGGGCAGCTGGGTGATAAGCAGCTCTGGCACCTACCAGGATCATTTTGGACAGACATTCATGACAGGCTTTTGCGATTTACACGCCAGGTCCCGGGACCCCAAGGTAGACCCTTACACTAGTGGCATCCCAGCCTCGCTGGGGGACTGAAGGGCTAGGGTGTCATCTTGAACGCCCCAACTTCATTGGCCTTTCCAAGTGAAACTGTTCATAGATTGGCTGCTGTGGCCTGCAGTCCTGTCGCTGATTGGATGACAGGCGGCAACCTCCCACCTCCTCCCTACTGTCCCACCGATGCTTGTTGCTTGGCAACCGATTTGCTTTGTCCAGCTGAGCTGACGCAGCCTCACACCTGTGAGGTAGAAAGAGATCTTGATAGCGCTGCAGTCTCCTACCCTTTCCACTTCCTCTTGCCACGCTTCTCAGTTGGTACCCCAAGTTTGTCTTGGGGTTGTGGGCTGGCACTGCAGTGGCACACGACACGTGAGAAAGGCCCCCGTCTTCTTTCTGGACGTCCTCGTTTGGAAGAGTCAGCTCTTGCCACGCTTCTCAGTTGGTACCCCAAGTTTGTCTTGGGGTTGTGGGCCGGCACTGCAGTGGCACACGACACCTGAGAAAGGCCCCCGTCTTCCTTCTGGACGTCCTCGTTTGGAAGAGTCACAGGTGGAAAAGAAAGTCACTGTTAAATCCTAAACTTAGAAGTTATTTATCTTGAGGGCATTCCGCGATTCTGGGAAGCAAGTAACCTTTCTTAGATGTAGGAGGGTGACCCGAGATCTCAATCTGAGAATGCTTGACGACAAGTGACCGACTCCGCTGCCCTACCCTGCACTGCAGAGCTTATGCCCTGCTGGAAAGAGACTTAAATAAGGAGTTGTACCACAACAACTATGAGGTAAGTGCAGGGATGTGGACAGATCTGTTTCAATAGGTAATGGCGTTCAAGAAGTAATTTAATCCATATTTATTCTGCAAATCATAATTTAATTGAATCCACTTTCTCTCTAAAGTGTTGTTATTTAACAAATCTATCCCAGAATAATAGCTATTCTTTCAAAGAAGTAATAGATAACAATTTTAAGTACACTGTACTGAGAAATTTATTGTGAAATTAAGCCTGAGTATCAGAGTATGTCTGGTAATGACTTCAAGGTGCAGATTTACATTTATTAATATCATAAGCTAAATAGTTTTTTTTCCTACCAGGAAATGAAAACTCAGAAAGATTCAGTATAGACTTGACCCCAGGATTCATTACAGTGTTTTCCAACCCTTTGTTTTTAGTTTACTATGTAGTGATTTGATTTTTTTTTTACCAGCACAAGATACAAATACCTTTGCCTTGTAATTTTAATGCTGATAAAAGTAACAGCTTTGTCCCAAATGCCACCAGTGAAGTAATTCGTGTTCATTTGTGCCATACTCTAATTTTTGGATGATGGAAAAATAAATGAGCAGGAAAACTCCAGAAATACAGCCATCCAGAGCAGGAGCCAATGGATGCTACTGACAGGTGCTATCACTGGAGGTCCAGAACACCATGTTCTGTTTTCATTCTTACTAAAAATGTATTGCAAAAAGAATAGAAAAAAGCCCTCACTGGAGATGTTTGGGGAAAAAAATATTTATCAGGAAACCTCTCAGAGGCATGGACTCTGAGTTAAATAATGTTTCTGTTCAGTCTGAATTTGGTCATTCTCTGGCAAAATAGAATTCAATGATTGATGGGCTGTATTAGTATGAGTAATGTAGAAAGACCAGCACCTAACATTCTTAATCACTGTGTTTGCTCAGATATAATTTTCTGGATTATTTAAATAGATTCAGCACAATTGATAAGGTTTTCAATTCTTGACTCTCCATTGGAGCAACACTTAAGTGTAGGAAAAGTTAATTTTTATATACAAAAGTAATCATGGATTTTTTTCTCAATGAAAATGTTCTTACCCCCTGTCCATTTGATATCCAAATAGTCTTTAAAAGCTTTCAGGAAACATGTGCTTCCCAACTATTTCCTTCTTTTCTAATTTGAGTTATAAATATCTCAGGCTTATACAGATGCTGTAAGATACACACCTCAGTCCTCATTAGAGTCCCACTTGTGATTTTCACACTTGGAATTTATTTTAAATTTACTATTTTATGTTTCCTGGCACCTTACACACTTAGACGTGTCAACAAATAAACCCATCAAGAAAAAAGTTGAGATACTGCATTCAGTGTAAACTATTTTCTGATTTTCAAACTGTAATAAATAATACTTTAGTTTGATTGTAGTTTGTTTTTAATTAAAAGGTATTACTGCTTCACCTGTAAGTGAAGATCTGATGAAATGGGAAGCTGAGATTGCAGGACTACGGAATTCAATTTGTCATGGTTTGTGTTTTCAAAAACAATCTGCCTTTTAACCAGTATTTGTGTGTGTGTGTGTGTGTGTGTGTGTGTGTGTGTGTGTGTTGTTGGGGATCAAACCCAGGGCCTCGAATATGTTAGGTGAGTGCTCTGAGCCATATTCCCAGCCCTCATGTTATTACCTTTATGAGAAGCAAACTCGGTAAAGCATATGAATTGAGAACATGTAACCATCCTCCACCAGATCAGAGAATACCTTCCCAAAGCTCCTGTTGGCTTCCACCTTCCGTAGTTACTTCTCATTTTTCCCTTCGTGAATTCTCCCAAATTACTATAAGCAAAATTCTCAAGAACTGGTCCACTCTGAACCTTAATAGCCATGTGTCATTTCAATCATTTATTAAATAGAAATTCTTTGAGTGAAGTAGGTAAGACAACGTGTGAACTGATAATGACACTAAAACATAACTGTGCTGCTGTGGATTGGGAGAGAATAGCAAAGAGAAGATAAGCCCATTCTGCCTTCAGGAGTCTAGAGTCTTTAACTGATAATGACACTAAAACATAACTGTGCTGCTGTGGATTGGGAGAGAATGGCAAAGAGAAAAGGATAAGCCCATTCTGCCTTCAGGAGTCTAGAGTCTTCTAAGGAAGTGATGTCTCTGTTGAATTCTGAAGAACACGTGAGAGTTCCCCAGGTTCAAAAGAAGGAAATTCATGCTTATAGCCAAGAAATGCTGCTGCAGGTTCTGGGAAGGGTGAGTTCAGCCAGAATGAGATTTACAGGAAGGGCAATGTGAGGAGGACAGAGGTAGTGATGGACAGAACTGCAGGGGAAAGATGCTAAAACCTGGTGCCATTAGGTTGGAAAAGGTCTGGTCTACAATCCAGAAGGATCGATACACTGTGAAGCAATTTAAGAAACCCACAGGGAGTGGGTTTGCAGGATGGTTTAGCAGGTAAGAGTACTTGCTGCCAAGCCTGATGACCTGAGTTCCATCACTGGGAGATAGAACTGTCCAGTAAGTCATCCTTTGACCTTCACATGCACTACGGCACATGTTCACTACAGACACACACACACACACACACACACACACACACACACACGCACACACACAATGTAGTGCAATTTTTAAGAAAAATGAAATTACTTTTAAAAGAAAAAACATTCATGGGAGGCTTTCTCATAGGAGACTTCCAGTATTAATTGGGGTAGAGCTAAACATGACACTTGCGTAACTGTTTATTTCTATATTACAGGATTAGTTTTCCAACTGACAATAAATTTTACACCAGAGTACAACCTTGCTCCTCCAGTTGTGAAATTTATAACAATTCCTTTTCATCCAAATGGTAAGGACGAAGTGAGATTCTTATTGTAGCTTTGCCTGTGTTATCCTTGATTTTGTGTGTGTTCAATAGTTATGCTTCTTTTCAGCAATTCATGGTTATAAATAAAAGTAAGAATACTTGTTGAAGAAAACATTAAGAGGCAAAAAAAAAAGACAATCCACTTTGAGTCCTAATGGCTTGTGATACTGTTTTCAAGATTTTGCCAAATTTATTCCCATTTTCCTGTATACACATGTGCTGGACAGCGTTAGTTGACACACCCGGGTTGAGGGAGCCTCAACTGGGGAATTGCTTTCATTGGACTGGCCATGTCCATGGGGCACCTTCTTGATTGTTGAGCGATGTGGGAGGGCCTAGCCCACTGTGGGTAGTGCCACCCCTGGGCAGGTGGGCCTGTGCTGCATAAGAAAACAGGCTGAGCAGGGCCCAGGGGAGCAAGCCAGCAAGCAGCGTTCATCCATGGCCTGTGCTCCAGCTCCTGCTTCCAGGTTCCTGCCCTGAGATTCTACCTTGGGCTCCCTGATGAACTGTGACCTGGGAGATGTAAGCTGAATAAACCCTTTCCCCTGTCCTCTCCAAGTTGGTATTGGTCAGAGTGTTTTGTCACAGCAATGGAGAATCAAACTACGATGACACATTTTTCTAGATACTTGAGGTATTACATAAAAGTTTTGGATCAGGCTTTATTACTTTAAATTAAATGTCTCCCTGTATTTTTAAGTTTTATTTTTAATTATGTGTTTATGTGGGGGGGGCGTTATGCATGTGAATACAGTGCCTGCGAAGGTCAAATCTGCTGGAGCTGGAACTACAAGCTGCTGGGACCTACACAGTGTAGGTACTGGGATCCAATCCAGTCTTCTACAAGAGCAGTACATGCTCTTAACCTCTGAGCCATCTCTCTGGCCCCTTTCCTGCTTTTTTATACCTTCTTCAATACATCATTCTAAATGAATGAATAACACACATAATAAGCATTATTCAATATTTTAGTTGGGTCTAATTTTTTCTTCTATGAAAATAGTACACCAAGCAAATTGACATTTTAACAAAAAGTAATTGGACTGCTATGCCAGCTTATACACAAAATGATGTCATGAAGCATCAAAAGTTAAAAAATGTAAATGCAAAAAAAGATATGAGCTTGGTAAGGAAGGCCTTTCTAAGTATGATAAAACCCAGAAACTATTCAAAAATGACAGTTTAAACTACATAAACATTTTCAAACTTCTGTAGCTAAGGACATTATAAATTGAGATTAAAAAACACACTGGCTTCTGCAAACTGAGGGGAACATTTATAGTACATGCAGCAGAATAGCTATATCATATAAAGAGCATTTGTGAATCAGTAAGAGAACATCACAACAGAAAATTGGGCAAAGTCTATAAATAAACACTGACTAGCAGAAATAAAACAAAACAGTTGTCCAATCATTTAGGAAGAGAATAGATGTAAATCAAAGCTAAAAATGTTGTGATCCAACACTTCTGTTAACCAAGTGTTGAGAGCTCATACCACTCAATTTTAGAAGACTCGGGCAGACATTATTTCCTGGCATAATGGTAACCATTTCTGGAAGCAGTTTTCCAATTCCTATTTCAGCTATAAAATGCACATATCCCTACACTGTTAAAAATAACATGTTTTCATATTACTCTGTAGACATACTAGCACAAATGTATGTTTTACTTAAAGATGCTCATTCCAAGCAGCAAGGCTGGAACTAAGGAAAACAGATATAGAGTTACCATTCAGTACTCATGGGGAATTGGTTCAGGACCAGGAATTGGTTCCCCAGTACCAAAGCTCAGACAAAAATGAAACAGTGTGCAGATAGCAGAGGCCATTCTCCTTGGATATTCATTCATTCATTCATTCATTCTAAAGATTGAACCCAGGGTCTTGCCCCAACCTCTCCCACATACTTCAAGTCACCTCTGGATTGCTTATAATACTGAATACAATGCAAATACTATGTAAACAAAGCAATAGACTATATATATATATGTGGATATATATATTCTTTTTTTTTACAGAAGAATGACAAGAAAAAAGTCTGTACAAGTTCAGTACAGATGCTATTTTTTTCTGAATATTTTTCAGGTCTCAGTTGAATCCATGGATGCATAACCCATACATATGGGGAACACATTAGAAGTTCACATATTGAACAAGGAAACTCTATGAAAGTTGGATTTCCTTGGTTACTGAAGTATCCCTAGAGTTGTCATTGCTTGGCACATAGTAGGTGCTCACATCTCCTTTTAATAAATATGTCTGGAGAGCCAGTGACATGACCCAACGAGAAATGATTCTTGCCACCAAGCCCAACAATCTGAATTCAATCCCTGGAACCCAAATGATTGGAGGAGAGAACCAGTTCCCACAAGCTGTCCTCTGGTCTCCGCACATATGATGTGGCACTTGAAATATGTGTGTGCACACACACAAAATAAAGAAAAATAAATAAATATAAATTTGGAAATACGCTGCCACCTGACTTTTAAATATTTTATTTATTTTTACTTTATGTATATGAGTGCTTTGCTGCATGTATGTAAGTGCACCATGTGCATGCAGTGCTGAAGAGCCCATAAGAGAGTGTCAGATTCCCTGGAACTGGAGTTGTTAGATGGCTGTTAGCCACCATGTAGGTGCTGGGAACTGAACCCAGGTCCTCTGCAAGAGCAGCCAGTGCTCTTAACTGCTGAGCTATCTCCAGCCTCATCAACTTACTTTTAAAAACCACCGTGAACAAAAAAACATAAAATATCATTCAATGTACACAGGTGAGTATATATACAGATGAGTATTTGTGTAGGCCCACAGGTAATAACTTAAGAGTGGAACTGGCACGAAGGGAACATTCATATTTTACTTTCTATTTTCTTGTGTACTATTTCCCCCAAGTATGTTATTACTTTTATAGTTAAAAATCTAATTTTGAAGCTAGTTCCATGGGTAAGAGCATTTGCTGTGCAAGCACAGGGACATGAGTTCAAGTCCCCAGCACGCACCCATGTATAACAAAAGCTAGACCTGGCCATATCTGCCTATAACACCAGCACTGTAGGGACCCCAAATGGGGGGACTGCTGGAGCCTCCTGACCTCCAGCTTTGCTCCAGGTTCAGTGAGAGAGCCTGTCTCAAAGGAACAAGCTTTAGCTTCTGAGCACACATGAGCATATGAACATGGACACACACTTGCATGTACACCACACACTCACACATGCACGCCTCAAAAGGAACCCCTAGTTTTGAAGTTTATAATGTAAAATGACAACACGGGCACCTATTGTAATCAGCTACAACAACAGAAAAGCTCGGGGACACTGGAGACCTGCCTAGAGTCTCATTAGGGAAAAAAAATAGAAAAAAAAATGAAGAGTAGATGCAATCATTTTCTTGGTGTATTATTTTGATAGCCATAAGTTTTAGATAATTATTTCATTATATGTCAACATTAATATGTTTTTTGTTATCAAAAGAGATTGTGTGTTTGTGTGGAGAGAGAGAGAGAGAGAGAGAGAGAGAGAGAGAGAGAGAGAGAGAGAGAGAGAATTTCTTCTTTTAAAGCAGGGCCTCACTATGTAGTCCTAGGCTAAATAGTGATTCTCCTATGATCTCCTTGATTCTCCTGCCTCTATCTCTCCAATGCTGAAATTATAGGCATGTACCATTGTTAACTTAGTGCTTTTTTAAACACTTTTAATTATTCCAAGTATTCAGACACACAAAGATTAAAGTGTATAATTCATATTTAATAAAGTGGATAATTCATATTTAAATGCTTAAAGGGTTTAAGCAAGCTTTTTTAAAATTGATTTTTTTGTGTATTTCATACAGAAATCTCAAACAATCTTAATCATCTTTATACCCCCATCCCCACCGGCACCCTCCCATAGCCGACCCCCACCCCAAAACACACACTGGAGCCCATATACTCTGTCATCCCTGTTACTGCCCACTGTGTTGTCAGTACCCCCAGCATTCCCTCAATCTTATCTAAAGGATTGTTGGCAACTGATTGCTGCTAGATGAAGAAGAACTGATCTTCCTAAAACAAGAGACTCTAGATAGGCTGACTAGACCAAGCAAGCTTCTATAAATCAATATTTCTCTATCAAAACTACACTGTGAGCTGTTCATTATGGTACACACTTTTAATGCCATCACTCAGAAGGCAGGGGCAGGTGGATTTCTGAGTATGAGGGCAGTCTCGTCTTCACAGTAAGACTGTCTCGAAACTTTAGTTGTTGACTTATTTTTAAACTGAAATTAAATTGATAATTAAGGCCTTCTCAATCAAATACTCATTTTATGAAAAAAGACAAGAATTGTTTGGGTGTTTTTAATTGTGGAAATGTAGTCAGGCTCTTTTTCAGCTCCTGGTATTGAACATGCCTTTTAGGTTCTTCCTCATTCTCAGACCTTATCTTCCTCAGAGAAATGAATGACTGGCTACATCTTGGAATGCTGTTTTGTTCTGTTACACACTGTGCTAGCTACTTTCCCTTACAAGTGTTTGTATCAGCCCTAGTGAATAGCGAAGGCAAAGATGATCTGTACTTCTCAGGCAGAATTCCCGCTTCCTAAATCCACATTTAGCCCTGGGCTTGTGTCCTTAGAAGCATACCTCCATGTTACCCTGCCCTTTACCTGTAAGTGTCCTGCTTTCTCATCTAATGCTAAATTACTTCAGCATCATTACTTTGACTGCTTAAGTAAGGATTAGCAGCATTCTGTCCTGGAATCTAATCATCATCGATAATATTGGTGATAAAGTATTAATTTTTTAGCCGGGTGTGTGGCGCACGCCTTTAATCCTAGCACTTGGGAGGCAGAGGCAGGCGGAGAGTTGTGAGTTCAAGGCCAGCCTGGTCTACATAGTGAGTTCCAGGACAGCTGGGGCTACAGGGAGACCCTGTCTCAAAAAGACAAAAAAAAAAGTATTAATTTTTTTACTATCTGAAATACCTGAAGAATAATACTTTTACATGATTGGATTTTTTAACAAAATGATTTCTATTTCTTCTGATTCTTATTTTTGAAAACAAATGAAATAGCTAATTTTCTGGCAAATAATTTTAAAAAAGTTTTTTTAATTTTATTTATATGAGTGTTTTGCCTGTATGTATATAAGTGCACCACATGTATGCAATGCCCATGGAGGCCAGAAGAAGGAGTCAGATCTCTTGGAACTGAACTTAAGGACAGTTGTTAGCTGCTATGTGGATGCTGAGAATGGAACCTAGGTCCTCTGCTCTTAACCCCGGGCCATCTCTCCACCCCCCAAATTTATTTATTTTTATTTTATGTGTATGAGTGTTTTACCTGCACGTATGGAAGTGCATTAGGTGCATGCAATGTCCCTGGAGGCCAGAAGCGGGCATCAAATTCCCTAGAACTGAAGTTACACACAGTTGTTAGCCTCCATGTGGGTGCTGGGAACCAAACATTTGTTCTGTCAGAGCAGTCAGTGATCTTAGCCACTGAGACGTCTTTCCATTCCTCAAATCATCTGAATAGACAGAATAAAATGTAATATTTTTAAAAGATGGAATACCTAATACATCATTCATTCATTCTACAAACATGTATTAAACATCTAGCAGTATGAGACTGTGTTCTGATTAAGAGATATCTGAGCCTTAAAGCAATGAGTGTGCATAATGTTCAGATATCTGGGGTTAATCTTTTGGATGCCTTCAAACTCAGACCTCTTCGTATCTGTTCAATCTGAAGTGGAGTCTTTCCTAAGATCAGGAAAACCAAATATTCCAAACTGTAATTAGAGCAAACTGAAGCGAATGGGCAAAAATGTAATTACAAAATAATGCAATAAAAGGAAAATTGGGCTTCTGAGGTTTGGCTGCCCTCACCTCCTGTTTCTCCAACTCCATGTCTTTCTACTGCTGAACAAACTTATTTACCTCTCAATGCCTCAACTTCTTTAACAGCAACATAGGGGTAGTTTGGAAGAGCTACCTCACCTCATGTGACTTGTAAGGATGAAATTAATTAACACATGTAAAGTTCTTGAAACTGCGCCTGGTATAAGAAAAGAATTCAACAGTTAATATCTCATATCATAATTGCCTTTTTCCATTAACCAGTAATGCAAAATGACCACAAAGTGTTGACAAATATATCATGAAAAGACAGCAGATAATGCAGTTTTTCAAATATATAAATAAACATGCTCATATCACAGATTTTTAAGACAGTATAATCCCAGAAAACTCTAACTCCTAAGTGATTTATATCCTTCTGATCTTTGCTCCTAAGTTCCTGTTTAGGATCTTCCATTGGCTGTCACATTCTCTGTGGGGTTAAGTACAGATTTGCTCTCAGGGCAGAGGACCTATTTCTTGCCACTGGACTCAGACCCCCTTAACACACCATGCTTCCATTTACATCTTCATGCTTTTCTGAAATCACATTAGTGGTATAATTCAGATCAAAAAGAATTTAGAAAGTTGTAAACTCTAACGGTACAAACCCAAGCAAGGCTTGAACCTTAAATAATGCTCAGCCAGCTCCCCATCAAATGACCACCTGTCTTCTCTTCTACCCCCACCCCCCAGACTACCTAGCAGGCATCTTTCGTGATGGCTCTCAGGTCAAGCCAGGCTTCCTCTGGGCTGTCTTCCTGATTCCTTTTTCTAGGTCAGAACAGATGGCTTCGGTTTGGATGGCACTTGCTTTACCACAGACTCAACAGGTCTTAGATTTCTGTCTGAGCACAGCGATATGGCAATGCACATACTATATTCTTATCTGTCTTCTATTGGACAATGAGCTCCTGAAAGCAGGAAACAAGTCCTAGGAACCTTTGATTCCCCAGAGCCTGCCCAGAGCAATCCTTTTGTTTCAGGTGTGTGTTTGTGTGTGTGTGTGTGTGTGTGTGTGTGTATGACTCATATAATTTGTTTCTTTTTCACTTAACATTTTGTCTAATTTGAGTACAATCAGTAATGTAATGACTATTCAATATTCCTTTGTCAGTCTCTGCCACTCAATTGAATTTTCTAAACTGGTGTCTGATATCACACAGTCCCATGTGCCCACCAAGCACTTGAAATGTGGTTATTATAACTATGGAGTTGAAGTCTCACTTATTTTTAAGTAAGTTACTTTTAAATCACTACCTGTGACTGATGCCTACTCGCAATGGATGAACCAAATACAAACCTAAATAAATGATTACTTCTTTTTGAACGACACACATTTCTAATTTTTTCATATTGCTGTTTTGGAGATGGTACTTCAAATTTGGTTTAAAATATTTTTAAATGCTAATTGTCTCCACCTAAAATTTTTTGCAATCTTAATTTCATTGAAATTTTGAATCCCATGTATAATGCAAAGGTAAGTACCAACACTCATTCATACAATGAATTCAAAATCCATGGGCTGTCACCAAAGTGGATATTGCAAAATGTATCTATATTGTTATAGTCCCTTTTGAACCTTCAAGACTGTTTATCCTTTTGAGAGCTTTTTATTCTTTCAAAATACCACCACATGGCTAATTTAAAAGTTGGACCTTTGCTTTCTTTGGCTATTTTAGCAGGGTATCCGACTTATCCTAATATATACTGATAAACCAGATTTTTAAAAAATTATTAAATGCATGTAATAGCTGTGTACACATTATATTAATGTCTTACACACAGTGGTTAATGAGAGACTATTGAATAAACTTTGCCAGATGTGCTTCTCTGAGTAAGATTCTCTCTCCATCCAGGGACCAAATCTTGCTTATGCAGATTAGTTTCATTTGCTTCCCACCCACTGAAAGGCATAGTGTGATCCACACTGGATCCTTACTCAAGCAATTGTGACCTTTGTAATACAGCCTGGATATGTTTTCCAAACAGAAAACTCAAATAATAGAAAATTCGTGTTGCCTTTGAATATCAGATGTCAATGATTACTTTCATTAGTGAAAGACCACTATAATTTCCATAATTTTTTGTTTAGTTTTTTATATGTATTTATTTGGTGTATGTATGCTTGCCTGTTCCACACTGTACATGTGGAGGTCGGAGGACAACTTGCTATAGAAGATTCTCTCCTTCCATCGTATGGGTCCTGGGATCAAACTCAGGTGGTCAGGCTTGGCAGCAAATGTCTTTACCCACCAAGCCATCTTGCCTGCCCTGTTGTTCTATTTTAAGGCAGGTTCTCATTATGTAGTCCAGGCTGGCCTCAAATTCATCATCTACCTGTGTCCATTTCCCAACTGCTGGGAAGACAAAGGTGTGTCACCACACATGACTTTTTCATAATGTTCTTAAGCATTTTTTACATACATTTATTTATTTATTTGGGTGGGAGTGCCATGGAACACATATGAAGGTCAGTAGACAACTTGTAGGAATCTGTCTTTCCTTTTACCTTGTGAGTCCCACTGATGGAACTCAGGTAGTCATGCTGTGCAGCAAGAACCTTTACCTACTGAGCTATTTTGCTTGCTTGACTTTTTCCTAATCTTTAAGTCACAATTGTTCACTTTGATGTGCATCTACATTTATGTATAGTAGGAATACATACAGTAGTAGTTTTAACCATATTCTATTATTATAGTCTACATGTTATAACATACAATGTTCAAAATACTGAATTAATAAACACTTTCAGTTTGGGGTAAAACAATTTTGAGGTGACAGATAAATAAATGATGGTCTAAAAGAACAATTTGGTCACCACTGGTAATCTGCTTCATGTAGGTACATAGACTTTTAAAGAGTACATAGTACATAAACTGTGCTGTAGTACATAGACTTTTAAAGAGGTTTCCCCAAGATGTATCCTTGGCTATTCAAGCAAGTACTAATCTAGGTAATGGAATGGATTGCATGTAGAATTGTGATTATCAATCAGCTGACCTTGATATGGGAAGCTTATTCTGCATTACAAAAGTATTCACGAACTGTTAGCAGTAAAAAAAAAAGTCAGAAGAGTCAGGGAACACAGTTGAAAAGGGATATGGCAGAAGGGGAAGCCAGATTCCAAACTCAAGGAGATTCTGTCATACTATGGCTGGCTCTGAGCTGCTAAGTGTCCACTGTAAGAACTGGAGATAAATCTGTAGGAGCAGAAGGTGGTGCCCAGCTACCACTCTGCAAAACAATGGAGACCTCAGTTTACCACTGCAAGGAACTGAATTCAGTCAACCCCATGCACAAACATGGAAACAGATTCTTTCCAGAGTCTTCTGACAAGAGCCCAGCCAGCTGACACCTTGATTTGGATCTTGTTAAGTCTGGAAAAGAGAAACTAGTCTAATCATCTTGGACTGTCCAGCTATAAATATGTAGATTATAAATTTGCATTTTTAGATGCTAATTTTTGGTTCTTTGTCACAGCAGTAATAGAAAATACTACAGATACTAAGTTGATCTTTTAATGACCTGGGACACATGTGAAAGCCTTATTACAAATTTGTTTAGTAATGATCTAGTATGATTGTGTTAGTATGTGATGGAAATTTTCATTGTTTCCCAATGTTTAGTTCACTTCACATAAAAATCTAATTTAATTTATATGACAGAAAGGAATGTTACAGGAAAGAACTTTTGTTTCATCCCAGTGTTCGGTTCGTGAATATACAGAATAAAACCAAGATAGATCAAGAACTTCTTGAGAATGGTCTGTGCCTCGTATTATCTTCATATTGAGCACTTAACAAATCCTTATTGGGTTTGTATATATTGGTTTGTCTTTTTATCCCAATAAAACTTACTTTGAAGCATGTTTGCTGTGTTTGGTTTTTAGGTGTTGCTTTCTACCCTAGTCTAGAAAATCCAATGAATTTGGAAGCAGCTCAACTGTTGATTAAAGACGAATCTATGTACAGAACAGTGGTTCAGAAACTTCTCCAGGAATCGGCACAAAGTAAGAACCATCTACATATAATTACCTGGCAATTAGCATCTATCCATGAAATATTTAAAGCAAATATGTGATTGAGCAGATAATTGAGATGTAAGGGGCTGTTTTAATATTTTCTGTATCTACTTTAGTGATGAAATGACATTAAATTCTCCCCCATAGCTATTTGCCAAACCAGTCTGTATGTTCCTTTTTTGATTTTTAATTTTATTACTTACTTTTAGTGTGTGAGTGTAGAAATTTGGGTAAGTGCATGCCACAATGGGCATGTGGAAGTGAGAGGACAATTTACAAGTTTGGTTCTCTCCTTCCACCAGGGGTTTTATGGATTTATGAAGCTCAGGTCACCAACTCTTCACAGCAAGGGCTGTGCTCCTTTTGAAAAGATCATTAAAGGTATTAGCTTCATGTATTTACATGCTATGGTCATAGAGATGGATGGCATCAATTGAAACTCATATAGTTATTATAATATTATGGCATCTAACTTTAATTCTCACATCTGTAATGGGTATTTCCATACTCTACTGATATGAGCCTCTCTTCCTCTTGATTAACAAAATGTTCAGCATTTTCTTCTGGAACATTTCCTTCCCCAATATTCTTTTTAATAGTCCTTGTGGTAGTGGCACCCAAAGCTCTCTAGTTGGCTGCTTTGTTGTTGATGTCCTTGGGTCCCTCCCGGCATCCTCCACCTCCTCGTGTTACTCCTACTGCCTCCATTGCTCCTGTGCTGAATCTCCAGTCAGCAGAGCCCGGAAGGTTGTCCCACAGGCAGGCAATGAGACATATTTATTTCCTTTATATCCTGTACTTCCTCCAAGAACCACACAGCAACCTTGCTTAGCACCTAGTACCATTGCCTCCCCAACCAGCAGGCTTTGATCTCTTTGAATACTTTTTCTTTCATATTTCTATTGGCTTTTTGTAATAGCTCCCTTCTAAGACCACACACTCCCAGTGCTTTCATGGGGCCTCTTTCAGTTTCTTCTCTTCCACAGATTTTGGGGTTTGATATAAATTAAGCAGGCATCTTTCCTAGTATCTCCAGACATGTGTTCCTTTGCTGGCATTTTAGAAGCTGTTTCATACATAGAGGAGCAGTGCAGCTTCACTCTGATAACAATTCTGGACCTAGCGGTATTCTGAAGCATTCACAGCTACATTCTCTAGAGCAATGCTGGCTCTCAATAAATATCTGAAGAATGAAGGAAGGAACTGATGCATATCACTTAACCATTCCCTGGTGCCTTCTATACCATCATTACAAAGAAATGTTCTATATAATAAAATTATGTCCATCTGCTGGTGAATGGAAAATTTTAAAGTAGGTTTAAAGAATCTTCTACATTAGTGATTCTATAAAATAGATTCTGACTTTGCTCTGCTGTGGAATAAACTTGATTTCAGAGCTGAGCATGGTGGTGCACACCTGCCATTCCATTATTTGGGAGGGAGTTGATGAGTTTAAGGCTGGCCTGGGCTATAGCTTTAGCAAAACCCTGATCCAAACGTACAAACAAACAGGGACACTGACTGTCTTAGTTACTTTCCCTGTTGCTGTGATAAAAAGTAATCTGACCAAAGCAATTTAAGGAAGAAAGGGTTTAAAAATTGAAGGTTACAGTCCATCGTGGTGAAGTCACAATGACAGGAGCTTGGGGCAGCTGGTCATAATGCAAACACAGTAAGGAAGCAGACAGAGTGAATGCTCGTGCTCAGCTAGCTTTCTTCTCTGATGCAGTCCAGGACCAAGCCAAGGGAATGGTGCCACCAATGGTGGGCAGGTTTTCCCACCTCAATTAACCTAATCATGATAATGCCCCACAGGCATGCCCAGAGGCCCATCTTCTAGGTGATTCTAGATCTCATCAAAGTGAAAATAGAGATTAACCATTACAATTCTATCCCTTGTCCACTTGATACCCAAACACATCACTTTCAATCATAACCTTCCACCTCTTGTTCCCAAAGACTCATGTTCCTCTCATAATGAAAATTACAATCCAACTTCAAAAGCCTCCACAGTATGTATAGCTTCAGATAGTGGCCTCTCAATGCCTCCTTATAGGGACTCCTTCCCTACCACACTGCCTGGTCTTAATGACTCTCTGGAACTGTGGATGATGCTCAGGTCTCCATGAACCCCTTAATCTTGTAGTTTTCATGCTTGGAAAACCAGTACCATATGGACCAATTTCCCATGCCAGCTTGAGATAATACCCTGGCCCCCTTGAACCATAGTTGTGTCAGCTTCTGTGTGATGGCCTTAGGGAAACACCTCCCTAGGCAATTGCCTTCAAGGACTAGGAAACCTATTCGGTGTACACTTTCTTCCTTCAAATGAATTTATAGCTTCACAAAATGGAGCCTCCAGTGGTGGGGTTCTGCCCTTTGGACACCTTTCCTACTCTCCCAGAGCGTCGTAGGTTTTTCTTCAGTGGTGCTGATCTCTCTAACAATTATTGCTGTTTTCTCAGCACCAGCCTAAATGTTCCCCTGTCTTGAAATTTCCTTTGCCAAACAAATCAGTCTATCAACTTTAAATTCAACTTTGCTCTGGTCCTCAGGACTCAGGCGGAATGAACTATATTCTTGATCAAATTATCACACAAATGGCCCAATCCCAGTTCCTCTTAGAGTCTTTATTCCTTTCCGAAAACCTCACAGGCTGGGCCTGCACGCTCTGTGTTCCTCTCTGCATTCCTATCTTTCAAGCACACATAAGAATGTCCCATTCAGCTCTGTTTGAAGTATTCAAGACCTTCTCTGGCCTGAATTTCCAAACTTTTCCACAATTTTCTCCCAAACCAGTTCCAAAAGCATAAGAACCACATGGTCATATTTTTCATAGCAATGGCCCTGCTTCTCAGTACCAATTTTCTGTGTGATTTGTCTTGCTGCTGTGATAAAATACTCTGACAAAAATAATTTAAGAAGGAAAGGCTTATTTTGGCGCACAGTTTGAGATTATTGTCCGTTACAATCAAGAAGTCAAGAGTCAAGATCACAGAGAATAAGAGACTGCAGAGCGCTTATCCATGAATAAGACATCTATACCAAACCTCTGCCACCCAAGACTCAGGGGTCATTTCAGAAGAGGAGAGTGGAAAGATTATAAGAGCCCAAGGTGGTAGATGACCACAAGGAAACAGAGTTTTTCCAATAGTCAGGCAGTTACTCATATGAACTCAATGATGAAGCAATGATGACGGCAGGCACAAGCCTATGTAAGCTCAAGCCAGACAAAATCCCAATATAGAAGTGGGGAAGTGGGTAAAGAAGCTTCAATCCTTCCTAACAACAAGGCTGCTGGGAGGGGGTGAGTCAGGTTTCTTTAAGAGTATGACGCTGGCTAGGTTAACCAGGTTCCAGTGGATGAACCAACACTGAAGGGCATTTGGGGACACAAATATGACTCTGTAGGCAGATATATATATATATATCAGAGTACATGAAATTGGGTGGGGGGTATTAAAGGGGAGCACAGGTAGGGGAGGGGGTATAAATGTGATCAAAATATATTCCATAAAATTTGCAAAAATTGAATAAAACATGAATCCCAAAAGAAGCGGAGAGCAAGGAACGCTGGTGTTTAGCTACCGTCCTGCTTTCTATGCACTCCTGGAACAAGCCCAGGGAATGGTGCCACCCACACAGCAAATGCGTCTTCCACCTCAGCAATCTAATGAAGATAATCTCATACAGGCACAACTTCTAGCTCATTCTACAGCTCATCCAGCTGACAATTGAGATTAACCATTACACGGACCCTGAAGTCAATCTCCTCTTGTTTTCTACATCACCCTTTCATTCCTTTCAGTTCTCAACTTGGTCAGCACACCATACAGAACAGCCGTCCCAATCACCAAACACCCATGAAACAAGCAATAAACCAAATAGGTCTTTAGGAGATTTTATTGTATATCTTGTGTATGTTAGTGAAATATGTAGAAATCCAAGCCAGTCAGTATATATTAGGTGGCTTGTCATCTTGGCTGGTATGCTGGCTGGTTTCAGTTGTCAACTTGGGAAGAGGGAACCTCAGCTGAGTAATTTCCTCCATTGGATTGGCCTCTCCACATGTCTGTGAAGCATTTTCTTAATTACTAATCCATGTAGGAGGGCCCAGTCAATGTCGGTGTTGCCACTCCTGAGCAGGTGGCCCTGGATTGTATCAGAAAGCAGTCTGGATGAGCGCAACAGGCAGATCTCTATGACTTCAAGGCTAGCCTGATCTATATAGTGAGTTCTAGGCCAGCCAGGGCTACATACCGAAAGCCTGTCTCAAGCAAGCAAGCAAATAAAAAAAAAAAAAAAAAAAAAAAAAAAAAAAAAAAAGAAAAGAAAAAGAAAGCAGGCTGAACACAGGCCAGAGCAGCAAGCCAGTAAGCACCATTCCTCTGTGATCAGTGCTTCGGTTTCCTGCTCTGACTTCCCTCAATGATGAACTGTGATCAGGATTGCAAACCAAATCAACCCTTTCTCCCCAAGTTGGTTTTGGTCAGAGTGTTTTATCACAGCAATAGAAAGCTAAGTAGGACAGCTGGTGTGGGAGTAAGAGCCTAGGGCCCACAAGGGGAAAGACTTTCTGAGGGCTGAGAGGAGAAGACGCTCTGACTTGGCGGCAGCACTAAGCCAGGAGGAAGAAGTGGAAGGACTCTGGGCTCACTCTAAATTAGACAGAACTCCTTCTCTGTGGACTTGTGTGAAAAGCGACGTCCAGTAGGGATTCATTACTTGTAAACACTTGCAAAAAGGGCTCTACAGGATTACAAGAATCCTGTCTCACACATGACAATTTAAAGAGCTCTAGGAAAAGCACAGGAAGAACTATTAGGCTTTTAGACAGTGCAAAATTGGGTCAAATAGTTAATTTTGTAAATAAGCATGAAGCAGCTATTTTTATCATCCCTGGATGCATTCATTATAGATTAGAATTACATTCTCAGTGTGCAGTGTAGTGTCTGACAGGAGGCATTGAATAAATTTTGTAGAATGAG